ACTGATTTCAATTTGTATATGAAAATATATGAATTTTTAAGTGATGAAAGATCAAAAATATGAAAGCGGAATCCTTAGAAAACATTATTTAGCAGTGACTTTGAAAAATCACCAAATATTCCATAGTAAATATTAGGAAGTGAACCTGATAAACTTACAATCGTACGAGAGTTTAGTATTGTTTAAAATAAACGGTTCTTAATTTTGAGCTAAAATTTTAGAGTTATAATTTTTTTAATGTACAAAGGTTAGAAGAGAAGGTAGTATACTGTTTCGAAAAATAGCAGTATAGTGACTTAAAAAAGTCACCATAAATAGTAATATTTAAATTAGAAGCTTTAATTTATATGGTTGGAAAGACTAGTAGCTCTAGTTTCTTATAAACCAAACGGAACATGATTTGGATTTTTTCATTATTAATTACACATTTTTCTTTAGAGGTAGTGTGAGATGTCATATTTGAATGATTAATATTTTAGTCATTATTTATGACTTTGTAAAGCTTCAATGACTAAAATATACTCAAGCATAACACATCTTGCAAGTTTGGAATAAGCATAAGACTTTGAATGTAATTGTGTTATACTTAAGATTAGTTGTTTGATGTTTTATTTGTGCGCAGTCTTCGGGCTCTAACCTAACTAGCAGTCATGTGTGGGGCTTGGGAAAACAATTCGGACACCTGAGATTTATTTGATTAGCGACCATGAGTGGCGCGAGATTATCCGGATACCCAATTATTTGAGCACATGTGCATCTTAAAAAATTTGACAAGTTTGACCAATTTTACAAGTTTGATATGCAAGCTATATGTTTATGAAATTTTTTTGATGTCTTGTAAATTATTTATTCATTACTCATGCCATGCTTGTATGTATATATTTGAATTGCATACTCATGTTTGTGAATTTCTTAAAGTATAGTAGATTAGTTGTGTACCACTGAGTTTGCAAAGCTCAACGTTCAATTTTTTTTATAGTTACATATTAGTAGACTTTTGTTCGTTTCCAAAGAACATCATTAGCTAGGGGCTTCCAGCATCTAGTATTCAGAGTATAGTACCTTAGCTGTTAGTGGACATTGTATTCATAGGGTCTCACCTGTATTTAGAGGTCTATTACTCATTTATATTTTGGAATATTTGACTGTTTTGGTATATATATAAGTTTATGATGGCGCTCCACGTGTTTGTTTTTGTATAACAACTTTTAATATATTTTAGTATAACTATTTGATGATATTTCTCTTATATGAAAATGTTTTTTTTAAATCTTAGAAAATTTGATGGATTACTACGGTGACTCAAATGTAACATCTTGATCGTCGGGCAAACTGTATTCAAGACTAGGGTGCTACATGACCTAAAGACGTTAATTGTACTACTCAAAGAAGAATTTTATTCATTTCTAGCACATGATAGAAATTTTGAAGTGACATATCAATATTATTGTTTTGGGGAGAAATCATTGCTTTACCAATATATGTTATTAGTAACATTGAGTTATTTGTTGTGACCACCACATGACTTCTCTTGTATTTTGATAGATTATGCAGTTTCTCTTTATCACATGTCATATGGTTTGAACAACTTGAGTCAATGATCTAATTATTTTCAAAATCAATTTTATAAGTTGTCATCGTGAGAGCCAGTTCTCCCTCTTCTACTACGAAGAATACCTCTGCATCCCATTCTTCTTCATTGTTGGATGTAACATCATTACTCTCCATGGATTTTTTCTTTGACCAACAAGGTTTTGGCATATGACCTTTCTTCCCATAGTTGTGACACTTCCCTTCAAACTTTCTATTGTTGTCATGGTTTTTGAAACGTTCCCCTTTACGAGAGCTCGCTTCTCACTAATTTCTATTGACCTACCATTTTCACACTACTTGAAATTTTGTATGTCTCTATTGGCATCGAGTTCCTCTTCTTCTTCTTTTTCTTTCAATGAGACTCATCCCATTTGTATAGCTAATGCTTCTTTACTAGCTAACAAAATTTTTGAATTTTAAAAGTGACAGATGATTTTACCATCCTTGTATAGTAGTCACAAAACTCCCAAACTCTGGCCTTATACCATGGACAATGATCTGTTTCATCCTGATATCACCAATAGGATTTGTTGGGTCCAACTCAAAAATCTCTCAGCATAACAACTTTACTTTGTGAAGGTATTGTTTGATCGTCATATTGCCTTGCTTCATAGATAACAACTCACTCTCTAGACGTTGGAGCTTCGTATCGTTCTTTTTAGAGAACAAATTGGAAAATATTTTCCAAGCTTCATTTAAGGTTTTGGCACCATGAATGTGTTCTAGCATATCTTCCTCCACTATTGTCTTCAGAGCGAACATTACATTGCTTGCTTTTATCTTTAATTTTCTTAGTATGCCATTTGTATCATCTACTTCTGGTTGCTCCACTTCATTGCCATTGATAATCTCTCATAGGCCTTGTCCTTTCATATATTATATCATGCAAGTTGATCATGTATTGTAGTTGTCATTTTTAAGCTTCCTCATTCCGTCAACGACATGTAAGTCAATCATATTGTCAAAAAGAATTCTCAATAAACTAAATGATTTAGTGGAAGTAGTTTGTGAACAATACACCATGTAAGTTCCCAAGAAATAGAGGTTGATCACACAGATCACCTTAATACCAAGTTTTTCTAGTACTTTCCTAAACATGCATCGTTACACTATCACACTAGTTTAGCAGCAACCGAACAACCCTTACCATATCCCTTGATATTAATTGTTGAACACCTAACAGGTCGACAAAGGTTCAAAACAATAAGAAATAAAAAACAAATAGAAGATAACTTGATTTATTTTGGTGTGATTTGAAAACTAGCATGAAGCTTTCTTATATAGGCAATGAAATATTTAACCTTCACAATAATTAAAGATTAAAACTTACGAACATTAATAAATTTATAACATAAATACATATATGCAAATACATTGGTGTTGATATTTAAACATTCCTTGTAATTAATATCAAGAAAAAAATTGACCAAAATTAAGTATTAAAATTAATACTAATTAAAATTAGTGGGCAAAGTCAAAATTAATTATAAAAATCTAAACAAAGTCAAAATCATGGGTGATTTAGAATCTAAAAGTCTAAAATCTAAAAAGCGAAAAAATGTGGGAGTTTCATGCAATTTGGCCAATCAAAACAAAACAAAAATAAGAGGGCTTTACATGTAATTAGACCATTCAAAATTTAAAAGAAAAATAAGATTAACCCTAAACGACTAGAGTTGAATGACGACAAACTTCATGCGAGATTGAGGACAAACTAAGCACCAACAATCGTGGTTGTTCTAGCTGGGATGGACGACGGTCGTGGATTGTTATTAGACGATCACTGCTTGTTAAAAATAGGGGAAAACGATTGACGAAACATGACGAAAATGACAATGACAGGGTTAATCGACAACCGATAGTTGGGCAACATTTGGTGAAGATAAAGACCAGTTTGCTTTTGATGGCGCCAGTCTAAGTTGAAGGATGTGATTTTTTAACGTTAGATATAGTCGTCGACGGTGGTTTTGATGATTACTCCAGGATGGATTTATAAACTTAAATAAATCAAATGTTGCAATCCTAAACAAATAAAAATTCATAAAATAATTATAATTTTAATAAAAATTGATTATATATTTCTATTAGATTTTGAATTAATAATAATAAAGGATTAATTATGAATATGTCATTATATTTTCTCATATTTATTTTTTAAGGATAAGTTAGTTAGTAGTGTGCATCAGTGTATTTAGTAGTGTGCATCAGTGTGTTACATGAATTGTGTGTTTCATTGATAATTATGTGTTTCAGTGTGCGACGTGCGCTCTAGACTCGATATATTTATCTCATTAATATCAATCAAACTTTATACTAATCTTAATTATTTTTATTCTTACAACAATAATCAATTAAAGACGTATACAATCATTAATAATATTATCTAAAAATTATTATTATATAATAAACATACAAATCATGATAATGATAATTAAATAATTAAAATATCATATCCATACAATATACCTAAAATATTATTACTCACAGTACTCAATATGAAAGGACAGAAAATATAATGATCAAATTACACATACAAACTAAAAAATAATTTTATGCTAATTTTGGTAAATAGTGTAAAAAAGTCCACTACCCATCAATTATTCTCCTCCTGTCTTATTGAATAAATGATGTAACATGCAAAGTGTGTGATCTCTGTTAGTCAAACCAACATTTTAAAATTCATTTGTTTCTTTAGGAGTCCTTGGATGTGAATAAAGTTTCTGAAAATAATAACTACTAATTAGAGCATCTATTGTGTGCAAATTCAAACTTTTTAGTTGAAAATATGAATAACATTGTCATGGCTCATGAGCTGGAATATACATTCAAATATAGACAAATTAACATGTATATATAGGTTTTAAAACTTGTTTTAAATTTACTGAATTTGAATGGCCACCTATAAAGACAATCAACGCCAAAAATTAGGCATGCTGTACATACGTAAATATATAACTATATAATTAATTTATTAATAATTATTTAAATATTGAAGACGATATAACAGAAAAAAAACAGTGACAACGATTAAAAAAGTATGAATAAATAATCTATCATAATCTTTTTTATTTTCTGCATATACAAATTAAAAATGTCTATTTTATGTTGAATTTTTAAAAGTCTTCTCCAAAATTTCTTGTAGTCACAATTTTTCAACATCTTATCCCTCCCAATGAACATAAGAACTCGGATAATTTTGAAATTTATAGTAAATTGATATAACAAATTAAATAACAATCGCTAATATACAGTTTAGTCTAATGAGTTGAGACACTTATTCCCTTAAAAAATATCAAAAATTAAAATTATGATATTTATGAATTGAGCTAACTAAGATGAGAGGGTCATCTCGTAATAAGCATATACAAAACTTATCTCAAATAGTTTATCAATAGATCGAACACCATTCCTAAAACCAAAAAATATTCTTCTCTCAGGGTTGCCAATGGTACAACAATTCCATGCCTAGAGTGAAAATAAACATGTTGCACAACAAAAAGGAGTGAAAAGCCCCAAACTTCATACTTTAACTAAACCCCATATATGGCCTCCATTCATTCATGGCAACTGATTGCGGTTGAAGGAAGAAACTAAATCTTGTAATAATCCATAATCAGGAACTTGAACCTGCTGCTGGTGCTGTTGCGGCTGCTGAGGAGAAAGAGTTTGACAGTGCATGAAGTTGGTATTTCCCACTGGATTATTGCTTGATGATGGGAGGAAATGGCTTAGGAATTCATGAGGGAAACCGGAGGCTGACGATGCCATAATAGGAGGCGAAAACATCCCGGCACCGTGTCCTCGAAGAGTCGTCGGAATGTGGTGGTTGTGCTTTCCTTCATACGTTGTGATCACCACTGATGGGTCCTGATACGATCTCTCGATTCGCTTCTTAACGCCACATTTTAGGCTTGTGCATCTGTAGTAACTTCTGCAAGTTTCACATTAATTATGTGATGAGATATTGCTTCAAGTCATTGATCAACAATGGAGAAAAGGTATATGAACGATTAATTACTGGAATTTAACTGGTAAAAGGAAGATAAAATTAGGGTTTAGAGAGATATATAAGAAGCATGAACCTTGGATAGGGGCTCTTCTTGACGGCCTTCTGTCCGTACTTCCTCCACCTGTAACCATCTTCAAGATTATCAATCTCACTCTTTGTGAGGAATGCAAACCTCGGCTCCTTTTGCTGTTTCTCCTTCTTTGTTGCCTTGTTCCTGCATATTTACTGGCTTTGTCAATAAAAAAATGTCTACCATGTATTAGGGTTTTGGTAGCTTGAGCTTTTCCCTTGAAATTGATGTTTATCATTTTTTAAAAATTGGTCGAAGGAAACAAGCTCATTTATGTTGAAATTTCTTCCACAAAATGAAAGAAATCGTTTACTGTTTAAGTTGAAGAAAGTTTCCCAGAAACCTTTCAACGTTTACCAAGAAGTAAAGCCCAGAGAAAAGGGAAAACTTACACTTTCTTCGACCTGTCATCTCCATGATCTTCAGACCCTTTTGGCTGCTTCTCTTTCTTAGTCTTGCTTGAATCTTCGACTTCCTTAGAGGAGCAAGAAACTGAGGAATTGGGTGTTGATGGGATTTCTTCAGAAATATTATGGATCTGAATATGTTTATCACCCCCCACTGAATTCTTGGTGTTGTTAGTAGTACCTGTACTGTCATCCATGGCACTGACAACATCTGATGAAGAACAAGACATGTCCAAAGCTCTCGAAAAGGAGTTGTAGTTGATGACGGAACCACCATTAAAGTAGTCGTTGAAGCTCATGTATGAAGGATCGAAGGCCTGTACCGCTGCTGGTGTTGGAGCCGCAGATCGGTGGTAAATGGAAGGATTTTTGTCGTCATAGAAGGGAAAAGTTGATCGGTTGAATCCCTGGAAAGGATCATAGTTATGTTGTGGATTGTTCTTTTCATCTGACGACATATAAACAAAGATGAAGAAGAACAAACAACAAAAATTGAAGAAGATGAAGAGGGCAAAACTACAATGGAAAAACGAAAGGTCTGTGAGGAAGAAAATGGATTTTGATTAAGAAACTTTTGTTTTTATTTTTATATATTAGTGTGTGGTGTTAGATTATTTATTTTTATTATTAGGTTAAAGTACTGTTTTTGATCATTTGCTATATTCACATTTAGGATTTAGTTTATAATGTTATTGATTAGTTTGGATATTGAATGATTTATTTGATAAAAAATAAAGGCATAAATTTATATACACCATAGTGACATGTTAAAGTGATTGAGATTCAATAATTTGAATTTGTAAGAGTTAAATTCAAATCTTACTACCGTCACTTTTGGTGAGTAATCTGTAAATTTCTATGTAAATCGTAATTAGGTCTTAGGTATGTCTTAGCCCTTTACTGGGGAAGCTACCTCTTACCTAAATTTTTTTGTACAAAAAAAATAGTGGCGGATCAAAAATATTTTTTAGACTAAACACACATATATTAATAATAATTTTTTTGTATAAAGTAGACACATATAAAATTTTAAAGTGAATAGGGACTAATATAAAAAGATTTAAATTTTAAGGCGAACATATATCACCTGAATAATTCAATATCCATCGCTGATTTTATATGCTTATTTTGTCGTGTGAGGACTGTTTTTAGGAATCAATTTACATTATTTATACCAAATAATTAACAAAATATTAATTATTTGGATTAACCGACAATATTATTAAAACAGATAACAAAAATAATTTAAATTAAAGCATTATATGGGCTAAATTCTAAATTCGAGTATAATAGAAGGGTCAAAACCATAACTTGACCTTATTATTTATTTATTTATTGTTGAATATGAGAGAGATGGGTAAAAGAAATGGGTAGGTTTGGCTATTTTCCACTCTCATTTAAATGTCCACTTAAAAATCTGCATTTCACCCATCTTTTCCATGGATGATTAATTGATTATAGCTTCTCAAATCAAATAACTGAATTATATATATATATATATATATATACACATATATATTAGGAATGTGTTTGTCAAAATTATCAACCCATCGAGTATATAATTTTTAAGTAAGATAAATAATTTAAATTATTATATTATAAATAAAATAATTTATTATAATATTTTTTAATATTTGGTTCAAATTAATTGATAAATAAATTAAATATTAATATTATAAAAATTATTTTCAATACTTAAAAAATTCATTTTTTCAGAAACATATGACATACTGCATAATTTATATTATCACAATATTAAAAACTAATATTATTAATAAAAATATTAAAATAATAAATCATTTAAAATTTTAATATTAATTTAAGAGTAATTTTTTAAAATATATTAATTTGTGAAAAAATATATATAATTCAAGTACTCAATATATATTAAAATTTTATTTCTTTAATAACAAATTGATTCTTTTATAAAATACACATAACCAATATAAAGCTAAAATGGAAAAATGAGAAAATTCAGCGGCAGAAAAAGTTGTGTGCAGTCACAGTCAAGTTTTGGAGAAGAGGCTTACACGTGTCAGAAATTCGGCACCGCCCTTTGACTACAGCTAGCAGGTGGGAGATATTTCTACTTGGTTGCTTCTTTTTTTTTTTTTCAGATTTCGGGTATACAACAGTTGGGCATTTGTTTTAAAAAAACCCTCAAAACTTCATTTATTATACAAACAATCCCCAAACATCATTAATTGAAATACACCTCCCAAATTGCACATATAAAATTAGCTCGCGTCGTATAAAAAGCGTGTAACAACCTCGTTTTCTATGACCCACGAGATTCCTCAAACGTGAAAAAAATGTAGATAATAAAATTTAATATTAAGTTAAACGACATCGCGTTATACCAAACGTGAGATACACGAGATATTGAATTATTTCAACAATTTATCATGTGTAGTATTTAAGACACCTCACGTAATCGATTAGGACATTTATTCTTAATGTGTTTAAGATTCGTATAGATAATGCATAGCTTCGGCTATTCTATTCTTTCTTGATTTTTGACCAAATCCTTGTCATTGTAATTCCATGTTGATCGTGGACGACCCTTTTTTCGCGTCATAATACAAAATCTTGTCGTATTGTAGGTTCATCATCAACTTCATCCATATCTTTTTCATTTCTAACAGGAGGGAACTCATATTTATAAACATTGATACAATTTCAAGAAAATATATCAGATCAACGAATTGCATGTAGTGAATTCGTACTGAATAACAAGAAGCAATAGCGTGCACACATGAGTATTTGAATGTTTGGAATACTATGCAGTCACGGGTTCCTTCCAATTGCCTCGAATATTTCGAAACACATAATTTATTTTTTTCATGAGAGACGCATGTTGTATTCATCACGTTTGAATGATGCATAAAGGTTTGTAATTTTGTGTGGAGGTCTAGGTGGATTGTGTGGCCACCTAACATTCAGTCAACTGCTTTCTTTTTTAAGGGTGCAAAGAGGGTTGCCAACCGATAATATGTCGCATTGACAACTAAAGTGATAGGAAAATGTCGCACTCTGTTCAATGATGAATTGATCGCCTAAGCCAATTTCGTTGTAATGTGACCATATCATCTATCCCCGTCAAATGATCGAAACCATTTCTCCCTCAGGAGTTTAGCAAGGTAGTTGTAGCCTTGTTCATATGTCTCTTAATTCTTGAAGCATCTCCTCAACCTCACCTACGTAATGTGAGTGACATATCCATTAAAAATGCAATAGTTAATTGGAAATAATAAATAAAAAGATATCTTAAACCTAGGAGAGTGAATGACGTACCTATTAGAAGCACCATTACATGTTCATCTTTGGTCTTGAACTTTTGAAAATAATCCATAGCAATGTGGCATAAATAGTACCAGTGATAAATATAGGGAGGTTGCCAAGATAGTCTCATACAAAACATAGTCTAACTGAGTTTGCTGACAGTTAGAAACATCTACCTTAAATCAAATAGTTCTATGTCATTAAATACGAGGATAACATGAATAATGGTTGTTCATTTATCATGAGACCGCTCACGAGAACACTCACGAACTATATTACCAAGATCAAAGTCGAAAGTAGAAGAATGTCTCCTTGTAGATGCTAAGAAATCATTGAATGGGTTATACGCTTCATGGTCTTGCAACCTCATCACCTTCTGAGAAGATCATGTAACCACACCAATAATGTATGGATTTTATGTTGAATGTTGCATTGGTGGTAGATTCAGGTCAAATTTGAAGCTAGCTGCGCAAGAATGTGTTATGCAACGTCACATCATAAATGATTGAATTCTTTTTCTTCTGCCAAACCTAACTGTTGAGTTAATCGATTGACAGAATCGGCCAAGAGGGGGGTGAATTGGCAATTAAAATTTTGGTGGAAGCTTTTGCAGAAAATTGAAAGAAATTGCACAGCGATTTAGAGTGGTTCGACTTTCTCAACCAAAGTCTACGTCCACTACCTTAGCTATCCACACTAAGGATTTTCTAACAAAATCACTAATTTGTTATTTCTTTTGAGGACAAAGACTAACCTTACAGCTCCCTCAAGAATTATACCCCAATTATTGAGCACACTCATTTTCAAAGAGAAATACACAAATTTGCAAACTTACAAGGAAAACCTCACAATGTAGATTGCTTGCACAATTCTAGAACAAGATAAGAACACTCAAAAGATGATTACAAATGAGCACAAATTGTGTTCTTGAAAGAAAAATGAATATTGAAAGGAAAATTGGCTTGAATTGCACAAACTTGATGTTTGATGCTTTCTCTCTTGTTTCTCTATTGATTCTTCTTGATTGTTGTTTCTTGTTATTGATCAATGGCTTCTAAGCTTGTTTAAATACACCTTCAAATAATTCTGAATGTTGGGGATGATTAGTGGAGTCATTAGATCCGTTTAAGTGTGAAAACAATTAATTAAAGCAGTTGGGAGCGTCAGTGCATCGATGCATACCCTAGGTGCATCGGTGCATCAATGTAAAATTCAAATATTTTGACTGTTAGACTCTCAGTGCATCGGTGCACTAAGAGTGCATCGATGCATAAAATGCATTCGATGTTTTGAAAAAGCCTGAGTGCATCGAAGCATGGTCTTGTGCATCGATGCATCAAATGCACTAAGTGCATCGATGCTTGGTATGTGCATCGATGCATAAAATTCATTCGATGTTTGAAAAATTAATTGGTGCATCGATGCATGGATTGGTACATCGGTGCATCACTTTGAAAAATTGATTTTAGGCTTGATTTTGGTTCAAAATACTTTGTGTGAAAATTGTTTCAAAATTAGTTTAAGTATAAAACACAATTTTACACATTTAGTAAGGTTTGAATTTGAGCTTGAAAGACTTTGAGTAATAATTTGATATTCGATTAATTAAATCGAATATACTTAGAAAATCATTTGTAAAATCTTAAAATTCATTTAAACTTAATTTGTTATATCGAAACACAAAAATGTTTTCAACAATCTCCCCCTTTTTGATATAACAAAACATTCGTGTTATTTTATGATTTTCTAAAAATTTAAATCAATTTTGAAAAATTACTCCCCCTTACTATAACACTTCTCCCCTTTAACACTTTTTGTTAAATCAAAAAGACTTTAAAACGTTTTTAAACAAGGTTTTGAAAAACATAGCCAATTGATTATAAGTAAATATAGCTTAAGCTGTAAGATCATAATCAAAAGAGAGATTAGCCATTAGTTTCATAATCAATATTCATAATCAAATGTGAAATGGCGTAATTGGTCATATATGTCTAATGATGCAAAAATAAGAAAATTCAACCAAACCAAATTTATATATTAAGTTCAAAATCCAATCATCCAAACTATAACAAATTCAAACATTTAACAATTCAAAACAAACAATCCAGAAACATCAAAACAATCCAAGATTGAAATACTAAGAAAGCATGGAGAAAAGGTCTAATCCATCGAAGGATCAGGAGGAGGAGGATAATGAGCTCGAACTTCAAAAGTGAGCG